ACACTTGGTCTTTTAGGCTGTGGCTGGCTTTTCTGCCTCTGGCTGTGTGTCCGGGGTCGCAGCAGATGCATCGCCCACCTGAGCAAACTGGAGGAATTTCTTCATCTTTTCTTTAGTCTCCAGCAATGTCTCCTTCACTCCCTTCTCCAGGATGTATCCCTCTGTCTCGATCTCCACATTCTCCTGTCCAATCACACCCTCCATTGCAGTCTGCAGATAGCGCAGACTCACCAGAATGGTCATCTGAAGGCAGAAGAGATATAGAGGTCAGAGTTCAAGCTCCTTTAAGACATTTTCTTCCTAAAGTAATAAGGAAAATTCTGTCATTTATACACCCTCGTTGTCATTGCAACCCTGTCTGAATTTCTCTCTTCTGTGCAACACTAAAGATGATATTCTGAAGAACATTGGGGTCCAAAACAACATCGGATTCGGACCCTAAATTTCATTGTATGGGCAACAAAACATTGAGATTTTTTATTTATTTTTTTTATTTAATTTTTTTTTTATAAATCTGTTCCACAGAAGAAAGAAAGCCATAGAGGTTTATAATGACATATATGGTAACCGCATTTTCATTTTTGGTTTTCATTTTCTTTTTTAAGAGTATTTAATTTCCTCCTTTACAAAAAATTGTGTTCCCCTGTATTATAACCACACTGTATTATAACTTATGGGGCCCAAACAACAACAAACTACACTTGAATTTATGAAGTAACAACTGATAGTATGCCATGTTAAATATCACACTTTGTAGATAGCAAAGCAAACCTACTTTTCCTGGTTCTCACAGCAGACGTTGGTTTGCTGTCTATTGGATTAGTGTATGAGAAGCAACTAATCATGCGGTTAGTGTTATAAAGCTGTGACTGTTATAAAAGCTGAGAGCGTGATGTGGTTTTGGGTTAAAGTTATTTTTATCCTTAAATAAAGAATATTGACACCTTTGAGTTCACAACCATACTGCCAGCCGTTCCGGAAACGTGTCAATATTCAGTGATGAGTGTGTGAACAGTTCGATGTGTTGAGCGCATTAGATTATACAATGTGTTATTCAAGGTTGACGCTTAAAATCATGTGGTTATTTGGGGGAGTCCTCCAAAACATTCATAATGATCCTCTGACATCAGTTTGTAGGTTAATTTGCTATGAGTTCCCATTTACCATGAGTTGCCATGAGTAAATTAAGTTCTGTAGTTATCATGATTCAACATAAATTACAGCATTCATTTTTAAGTTGTTGAATTTCTTCAGAATTACCATTCAAAGATTTTTTTAAATGTTTTAAGTTTATAAGTCTCTTATGCTTACCAATGATGCATTTATTCGATCAGTAAAAATACTGAAATATAGAACATACAGTAAAAATAGAAATATTGTAAAATTGTATTACGATTTACAAATTACATTACAATTTAAAACAACTGTTTTCTATTTGAATATACTTTAAAATGTCATTTATTTCTATGATGGCAAAGCTGTCATTGCTCCAGAGTCCAGTCTTTAGTGTCACATGATCAAATCATTCTAATATGCTGATTTGGTGCTCGAGAAACATTTCTTATTATTCTCAATGTTGGAAGTAGTTGTGCTGCTTAATATTTTTGTGGAAACGTGATACTTTTTGTCAGGATTGTTTGATGAATAGAAAATTCAAACAAACAGCATTTATTTGAAATATAAATCTTTTGTAAAGTTATACATTTCATTTTTTATTCATTTAATGCATGCAAAACTCTTACTGACCCCAAACTTTTGAATGGTAGTGTTTTGCTGACAGCAATTGTAGTCCTTATATAGCATCTTCCAAGCAACTTATAATAAATTAGGGTGTTCAGAATTCACATGAATAATTTATGTTGGTGAACAAAACACAAAAGTCCTAATACAAATGTTATTTTACTCATAAATCACAAACTTCAATTATAAATGCCCATAGGAGATTCCTGAGAGAGGCCATTACTCGGAAAAGCAAATAATTTTTTCTATTTGGACTAGGAGGATCAGTGCCTGTAATTACTACTCATTCAAGCCATTAATCAGCTCATACCTGGAGAAGAAAATCAAATAGTACGCAAGGGCCGATGGTGTTCATTAAACCCATGTAGTAGTTGACAAGGGCCTGGCGACAACCTCGGTTGTACAGGTTCAGCTCTTCACTCTGGTACTCGTAGTTGTAATGGGCAGAGTTGTCCAGGAGACTGTACTGGATACAGGGCCGCGGGGAGGTAGGGTTACAGCAGCTGAATGGGACCCCATCCAGCAGATATCGGCCATCTACGTTACTCCTCACACGACTGTCGCCAAAATGGAATAGACAGAAACATAAGACTATATATAATTTTTCTAGTTTTGTTACACTATTGATTCTGCAGCTCTCTTTATTGACTTTCTGATCAATGCATCAGGTTCATTTGGTGAGGACATTCTGTTTCGGAATATAACGTTCTAAATTCTGATTCACCTTAGAAGATAAAAGAAAGCATTTTGAGATGTTTTGCAGGGTTTTGCCTAACTATTGATACCTCTGATTCACCCTTCACCCATCACATTCAGGAGAGAGTGCAGGAGCGTGAGTTTATCTATGATTTTTGGACTCACTCTTTCACTTCTTTGGATGTGAAGTCCAGGTAGCGGTTGCTGACCCACTGCACCTCAAACCAGTCCCTGTAGTTAGTATTACCACAGCACTGGAACTCAATCTGTAAACGGTCAATAGTCTCCTTCTGGAAACAACGGCCTGGTGTGTCTGTATCCTGTAAGGGTATAGAACATCAGATAACTACTTTAAAGTTCATTAAGAGAAATATGTATGACTTGAAACCCTGCAATTCAGTTCAATTCCAAATTCTTTTGTATTCTTTGGATTTTATACTTTAGTACATTATGTTGTCCTGCCTTTGGAAATATTTGTTTGAATTAAGTATTGTCTAGTATACAAAAGGCCTCTGAAATGCCAGATTTATTCATTCATTCATTCATTTCAATATCTATAGGACTCTGCAATGCCAGATTTATTTTATTTAATTTTATTTATATATTTATTTCAATAAATATGTAAAGTACTCTGAAATCCAAATTGATTCAAATAAATAAATATCTAGCACTTAAATATCTAGCATAAGTCCAATAGTATTTTAAAAAATCTGTTGTGATTTGCATGAGAAACTCTTGTTATTTTATTTCACACATGGAGGAAATGTGTAAAATATTTCCTCCATGTGTAAAATATTTATGCACCAAAACAAGATATTATATGAGACCAGAGAGCACTATGTGAATAACACACACACACACACACACACACACCCACACATAATATATATTCATTTCATATATTCATATATATAATATGACGTGTTTGTGTGTGTGGGTGTGTGTGTGTGTGTGTGCTGTATTTCTATACTGTATATGTATGTGTAAGCGCTTTGCCTAAATTACTAAATCATATCAAATGACTTTATTCTTTTTGTCTTTCTCTCCCCAACCTTGTAGAAGCGGATGCCGTTCTTCAGCCCGATCTTCAGAGACTCCTCCAGGCTGGGCTGCAGGGCGAAGCTCAGAATCATGGCCACCAGCAGCAGGGAGGTGATGAAGACAGAGAAACAGAAGAACGGAGGAAGAAACGTCTTCCAGCGTGGGAAACGTGAGGGGTCCAGTGAGTCCTGGCAGACTTTACCAGCACAGATGTTGATGCC